GTCACATTCACAATAATGATCATTTCACTGCAGAACTAGAGCAAAGCTAGAAGCTACAAACAGCAGTAATCCTTTACTGTAGTTGTCCGGGTAAGCGTCCATGACCGGGCAACCCCCCACTTTTGACACAATAAAGAAAATATGGTAATGTCCAGGCATACGTCCAGACGGTCTTATTCTACACATGTAATAAAAAAATAACAAAAACCTATTTTATGTTCATTGTATCAAAAGTTGAATTCATTGCAGTCTGTTGTGATTCTGATAAAAAATTTTGAAAAATAAATGTCAATTGTGTAAAATGAGGGGTGAACGCAAAATAGTTGTGACAGCAGAATAGATAATTTCACGTTCTGCCTCTAGGGCAAAGCATTCACCACTGTTTACATAATTTACATTTATTTTTCAAGATTTATTATCAGAATTATAACAGTCAGCAAGTCTACAAAAATTTATATTAAAGGTAGTTTTCGTTTTGAAGACTGCCATCTATTCTATTTCAAGCCCACCGCGATATAGATAGTTAGACATTCATACGATGGAACTTGCTGAATGATAACTTTCACCATGATTGATGAGTGTCGAGTCTGATAAAAAGCAATGTTGACTTGACTTCTATGATAAAACACTACCCTGGTAGTACCGTAGTGATGTCATTCTTATCCAATCAGTAAAGCAGATGCTTAAAGGCCAAAGATGATTGACAAACTGTAAACAAAAGCATCGTGTGCCAAGAGTCGTTTGCATGTGACCCCATTTTTCTTGTCTCTATTGTGATTAGCCATGAGTTAAAAGTGCCAAGCTGACAGACAGTAAAATCAGTGGATTATAGTCCAAATTGTGTGTGCCCACATCGACGAACTTCAGGACGAAGCTGTAGGGATTTTGTTTGACGCCGACAGTGACGCCAACTTGGTTTTGACTTTGACGAAGATGGCAATGAACATACAAATAGAGATCTGAGAATTTTTTTCAAACAACTGTGAACTTTTGTAACTTTTACTGTGTAAATTTGTAAATTATTATTGATCATGTATGA